TAAACTTTTGCCATTTCAATTAGAATAATTCAAACATTTGAGTAACACAGATTTATCCTGCATGTTTTTTTTTTAAACTATCAATGAAAAAACAAAGTAGTTATATTCACAGTCATCAAGCAAGCTTACAAAATAAATGGACAATGGATATTCTTTATAACCTTATTGTGTGTATGTGTGTGTCTATTTACACAGCAGGTTTTCATTCATACAGGTTTCATTAAAAATTATTTTTTTAAATTTTTTTAGTTAACTTTTTATGTTTGGACACAAGAGAGCATGTATTTCAGCCAAATGAATACAGATATTGTTTGAATGTTTGCGATCAAAAGCTTTCAACCATTTTAAAGTTTGAGAGTTATATAAATATTGGTCTTTACCATGTTCAGCTATGTTTAAAACATGAAATTGGCTGATATACTTCAATGTTGGAATTGCAATTTTAAATGTATTCAACTGGTGATACATTTAAGCCAATGAAAAGTCCAGCTTGTCAGTCAACTGTTAACTTGACACATCTCCACCTCCTATACATACATAATTCCATCAACAAAAACACTACTCTTTCCTGGGTATGATGATAAACTACATCTGTGTCCTGGGTAAGACAAACTATACCCAACAGCAAGGCCTCTGATCGGGAAGGTTTGAGAAGTGTGGAACCACCTCTTAACTGCTGATGTTCCCAGTTCCACCCTGACTGGGGTGGTAGCACCTGTTAGGGTCCCAGATATGGGCAAATAGTTAACACCCAAACTTGGGTCAAAACACTATGAAAGTGTAAAAATAACATAAATATTTTGTAAAAAAAAAAAAAAAATTATTACCAGCAATACATTTTTTGAAAAAGAATATTACCAGCAAAGGAAAATTCTTACCAGAAATAGATTTTTGAAGGAAAAAAATATTAACAGAAATAGATTTTTGGAAAAAAATATTACCAGAAATAGATTTTTGGAAAAAAATATTACCAGAAATAGATTTTTGGAAAAAAATATTACCAACAAGGAAAATTTTGTCGGCATTAAATAACCCATTGAGGTTGATATGCCATAAAACAAAATAAATGAAACCAAACTAAACCAAAGAATACATATTCTATTCATACGAACCAATCCTAAAAATCTTGTTAGCATTAAATAACCCATTGAGGTTGATATGCCGTAAAACAAAATAAACGAAACCAAACTAAACCAAAGAATACATTCTATTCATACGAACTAATCGTAAAAATCTTGTCAGCATTAAATAACCCGTTGAGGTTGATATGCCGTAACCCAAACCAAACCAATAACACTACTTTAGTCCATCTGGAGGACAAAATGTAGGATACACAATTTTTTCCACTTTGTCATTCATTTGTCTAACATCTGCTATGAACAGACGCTGCAGTGTCTTGGACATATTTGGGAATGAAGAATATGTTTACCAAATATAAATATGTGTGTTTGGCCTGAAGCAGAATGGATAAAAAAGAAATAAAACAATTCAAGGTATGACTGCTGATCTTTTAGTTTCATGCTACCCTTTTGTCTATATTTGCATATTGGGTACTCATTTTATTTACCTGTTCTTGTCTTGGCTCAAATACTTTTCTTCCAACAATCATCACAGGTGGTCAACTTTACTTTTGGTCTCCTTTTAGTTAATATTGTTTCTTTTCTATTTTTCAACAATGAAAAAAAAAATCAGAAGAAAATCAGAAAAAGTGATGTGAACATTGTCCTTCAGGGAAAAGTTCACTCGAGCCTTCTTTCATTCACAACTCTAACTGGGAGATTTTTGTGTTTGTAACTCTATGATATTTGTTGTTCCTTCTTTTTCTCTCCTCTTCTCACTTTACCTCTCTTTCTCTAGACTTTTTTTTCCATTCACTCTAATTTTGTTTTATTTTTCTCTCTTGTTCACTCTCTTATCATTACTCACACTCTACTGTTAAGATCAGCATTGTTGCCTTTGCCAAAACAATTATGATGTCTTTTGCTTAAATCTGCTTATCTGTCAGAAAGAATGGATGTGTAAGGGGGGGAATCTCAGTGAAGACAGAAAAGATACCACAAGAAAAAGAGACTAAAGAGAAAAAAAAAAAGAAAAGAAAAAGGGAAGTTAACAACAACAAAAAAAAAAAACGAAAAAAAAAAAACCCGGGGGGGGAAAAAAAAAAAAAAAAAAAAAAAAAAAAATTTCACAAAGAAAAAGAAATTTAACAATTGCAGGAAAGAATTCAAACAAAAAGAAAAAAAAAATAAGTTTAAAGAAATTAAGAAAATAAAAATGAAATAAAATAGAACAAACTGAAAGAGAAAAGTTTTAAAAATTTCGAATAATAGAAAAAAGAACACAGTTTGTTAATAAATTCAGGATAACGAAAAACAGCTTGAAGAATTTAACATTTTTAGAAATAAAAGAGATATAGAGAAAATGAAAATGAATGAAAAAGAAAGAATCATGAACAGAAAAGACACTGGTTAACCCCTCGACTTGAAGAGATTGAGATTGTAGTGATCAGGTAACCAGCCTGCTGGGAATTTGTTCTACAAGGCAGCAGTTCTTGGGAAGAAGCAGTCAGAGTGGAATTTACTCCTTACTAATGGAATACAAAAGAAATTGTGATGATTCACACTTGTGTATGTAGCATGATGCAAAGGTTAGGTCAAGAATCAATGAATGAGGCTTGTGAGAACACATACCATTCACCCTTGCATGGAATACTGCTGCCATATATGGTCTGGAGCCCCCGCTGTTCATCTCTAGGTCCTCGACAAAATCTCGAGATGGATATGCAATGGGATTGGCCCTGATCTGGCATCTCACTTACAGTCGCTCTCACAGATGTGCCGTTGCCTCCCTCTGTCTTTTCCACAAATACTTTCATGGTAACTGCTCCGATGAGCTACTTTCGCTAGTTCCCAGACTGCACGAATTTAAGCGTGCTACTAGGCTGGCATCATGGCCCCACCCTTTCACTGTCAAAATGGTTAAATATGGCCATCTCTTCTACTCAAATAGCTTCATGTCTCGCACCTCCCGTCTGTGGAATTCCCTTCCTATTACTTGTTTCCCTGATAGCTATAATCTTCAACTATTCAAATGTAATGTCAATTGACATCTCCAGATTCCTTGATCTATTCCCTGTCATTTCTCTTCATCCTTTCATCTATCATGCCGCTTTATTCTTGCTCCTACTCCCTGTAACCCGTTGCATGCATCAGGGGTGAAATGCTTAAAAAAAAATAGTGATAGAATAGTGAGCAGTTTGTGCTGATTCATCTGTGAGCAAGGGATTGTAGGGTGGAAAATAATTCATCACCCACAAGGTTGAGTATACACTTTAGAAATCTATCAAGACAGGCAAGTGAGGAATGGGCATATACAGCTCACATATGGTAGTAATATTCTATTTTTGGTCTTGATCTGGCTCTTGTAAAGATTATAACAGGGGGTGTGGAGTCAAGTACTTAATGGAGTGGTACAATGAACTGACCATTTTTCCAGCATCTTTATCAATATATCATACTGGGTGCGATGTATAAATTGTCGTCATTTTATATTTCTAATTTTATGTATGCGTGTTGTTTGCTAATGATTTTGTCAACTGCACAGTATATTAGGGTCATTTGGGCACCATCTGTGAGGTTTGGTTTGTTTTACAGCATATCTACCTCGATGGGTTATTTAATGTTGACAAAATTTTTATTTCTGGTAATATTTTTTCTTGAAACATATATAGCTGGTAATATTTTTTTTTTCAAAAATGTATTGCTGGTAATAATTTTTTTTTTTTTTTTTTTCTGGTATTAAACCCTATTTTTACACTTGCATAATGTTTTGACCCCAGTTTGGGGGGCTATCTATTTACCCATAGTTGGGACCCTAACAGGTGCTACCACCTTGGGTCAGGGTGGACCTTGGAACACCAGTTAATTAAGAGGTGGCTCCACACTCCTCAAAACCTGATCAGAGCCCTTGCTGTTGGACATAGTTTATCATCGTCTTACTCAGGACATGGATGTAGTTTACCATCATACCCAGAACAGACCATCAGTGAGGAAAAGAACACCTCTATGCCATTCACTCCATCAGAAATTTGGAAATGGCATGCTGTACTGCTTGGCTTTTGTGCCAGAAACTCCAATATGAACATTTCAGAGTATTGGGTGTCAATCTGAGGACAGTGTAGAAAGAATTGGATGACTCTAATGGTGATTATGAAGGTACAGCATCTTGGGAAAGTCACTCTGATAAGAAAAGAACTCCCAAATTTGTTGATGAGGGCCTCAGACAACACAGAGGCCTTGAGGAGGTCGTGCTGCCTTTGGTCAAAATTTCAGAATTTAGGTGGAGATGTTACAAATATAGAGTTGAAGTAAACTTTAGAAGGGACCAGATCCCAATCCTAACTAGGAAACACCTCTACTTCTGTTCAAAAGATGAGGAAGAAGTGTGAATTAAATGATATGGGGGACCTATCTACTCCTATACTTGTGAAATTCACAAATCGCATACAATAAAAATCGCATCTTATTAAATGCAAAAAAAAAAAAAAAAAAAATTATAATCCCAAGAAAATTTTTTTTTTCTTGATATTATAAAATAAAGAAAATAAATATGATTTTTTCTTTAATTATTTATAATAAAAAATATGTAGACTAAATTAGAAAATGGATGTTCCATATCTTGGATTGATTGAAAAGAAATCTCTGACAATTTCATAAAAGCCTTTCTCACAGATGAAACATTGCGAGCCTATTGCTACTCTATCACTATTTTCATGGCAAACATTCAGATAAATTAAATTCCATAGTTCTACCAGTTCAGACCTTTACAGCTAGTTCGTACCATGTCACATACATGGTTAAATTCCCTTGGTATTCCATTGAAAACAAGGAAGTTCCCAAGATACTATGTATGAATGAATAGATACAGTAATTTTCAAAATATTAATAAAAATAACCTGTTGGAGGGATTACTCTTTTTTTTCCAATTTGCTTTTTGAAAACTCAAAAAGACGTAAAGGAAAAAAAGACGTAAAGGAAAAAAAGACGTAAAGGAAAAAAAGACGTAAAGGAAAAAAAGACGTAAAGGAAAAAAAGACGTAAAGGAAAAAAAGACGTAAAGGAAAAAAAGACGTAAAGGAAAAAAAGACATGTAAAGAAAAAAAAACATGTAAAGAAAAAAAACATGTAAAGAAAAAAACATGTAAAGAAGAAAAAGGAAAACAGAAAACTAAATAAAATGTAAAGATACTAATATGTTAAAAAAGAAGATAAAAAAAGATAATAAAATGTATAGAAGTTAGGAAAAAATGGAAATTATATGAAGAAAAAATGAACAAAGAGAAAAATGAAATAATGAAAGAAAGAAAAGGACTACAGAAGAAAGATGAAGAGGAGGAGGAGGAAGTGAAGAGAAAAGGGAGGAATTGTTGACAAGAAACAAGAGAAGGGAAGAAAGGCAGGAAATGAAAAAAAGCAAGCATAATTGATGACAAAGAATGAACACTGAGGAGCTGAAGAAATATAGAGTTCAGCCTTCCCCTTTCTTTGCTTTGCCATGTTGGTAATGTCAGAGGAATAAAAAGAAACAATGATGTGAAAGCATTTTTGTCTTGTGTTCTTCAACCCCAGCCTTATTCATTATCTCCAACAGCCAATCAAAGGCTGTCCACACCTATCCCAGATTCATATGTGTTCACTCCATCTTACTTGCATCTTTTCATGTCATAGTTTATCTGTGTATCAAATCTAAAAGTCAAGACAAGCTAAAAGACCTTTTTTCAAGGTTAAGTTCTGTCCACACTTTTATTGTGTGACTCCATTTTTGTTTTATTATGTCCATGCCTGTCAGAGTCACCTTTTTAAAACATATCCTATTGTCAAGATCTTTTGCCCTGTTCTATAATTATCAGGGCTTTTGCTGAGTGGGGGTAGGAAGAGGAATTGTTTTGCCACAGTTTTTTTTCAAATAAGTTCAGATATATCTATTTTAATGTCTGTATTTCTGATACAAGGATCAAACAACAAATGATAATGTTTTTGGAGATTTTTAAGCAGTGATCCATCAACTTAATTTTCTTGGTTGTCTTCTGTTCCCATTTGTCTTTCATTATAAAAAGACAATATACAGTGTGTAACTTATGTGATCAAACATGACTGGGATACTTTTAACCAAATTCCTGAACAAAGAGTAAAAAACAAATGAAATGATTAAAATTTATTATAAAGATTTTAAGAAATAAAATGATATTTGTTAAAAATAATGAAGTATTTCTTTCATAAAACAATAAGTGGTTCTCCCAACCCTGCACTGTCATGTAGACAAGGAATAAAAAGTAAGAAATAAGGAGAGATATTCTTATGTTCCTATTCTCATGGTAACTATTTATATTTAAGAACTAAGCAATAGGTGTGCTATGTCCTTTTAGGACATTGGTGATCATGGCTCTCCACAACTTTCTGTCTTTTGTTGCACTAAGTAACTTTTAAGTCATTACCATCATTTTTTATCTTTGTTTTACCATTAACTCAAATCTATACTGGTTCCTGTTTGATCACTGAAGTTAAGCAGTATTGAGCCTGGTCAGTATATAGATAGGAGGCTGCTTGAGAATACAGAGTGCTGTAAACAACTTCCTACAATATGAAATATAATTCAGCTTTAAATAACCCCCAAAGGGTTGATAAGCTGTAAAAAAAACAAAAAAAAAACAACTCCATCTCATTAAGTAGGTTACTTGTTATTTCACTTTGATTTTATTGCCTTTGATATATCCTGTGAGTGTTAGATTCGCCAGACCTTCCTCATTATATTTCACAGAAATTTTAGAAATTTCTTTTTGACTATAAATATAAATTTCCTTGTAATTCCTGTTTTCCTTAAAACTTCTTCATGCATTCTATTTTGAGTCAACAATAACTTTAAGTGAATCTGTACACCTATTTCTTCCACTGAGAATAACCTTGACAGAAAATTCTAAAATTATCAAGCCAGTTAAATTCATAAACTCATGTTATTTAATATATATATATATATATAACACAAATTAATCTCAAATTAAAATATTTTAAATACTCATCTGCATCAAAAAAATTTCCAAAATATCACTTATGCACTTTCATTTATTAGACATTGAATTGTGTCACTTTGCATCCTCCATAGCTTGCCTCACTGTTTGGCTGACCTGATGAATATTTATGAGTGCTCACAAATTTTTAAAAAATTGTAAAACCAATAACAATTTTAACCTTGTATATAAAAACGTGTTACAAAATAAAATCCTTGTATTTATCTTGATAAGGTCCCTCAGAGGATGAAACATATTAGCTAAGATAAGTTTTCCTTTTGTCTTTATTCATGCATTCATTTAAAATATATATATATATATATATATATATATATATAGGCATTAAGATTGTAACCATGAAATCCGGGTTTGAATTTCACCATGGTTAATTTGTAACAGAGGTAACTTCTTAATAATATCAGCATGGGGAAATGATCTTAGTATGTGACACACTTGAGAAGTATGTGAAAACCATACCATGTCTCTTATATTTGGTAACATTGGGTGACTAAAAAGAAGACACAATCATATGACCAACTAACTACATATCACCAAGTGTTGATGCAGAGTTAGATAAGAAATATGTATATAAAGTAATCAATAAACATTCATACCTAAATCATTCTCTTCTGCTTTTTGATTCCCAACCCTTCAGCATCAGGGAGAATACAAAAGTTAATAGTGGTCAAATTATTTTAAATAAAGAAGCCTTGTCCTTTGTTTTACTTGTCTTTTGCTCTCTATTCTTTGTTTAAATAAAATAAGGGCTATCACGCACAGTACTGTGAATTTACCTTTACTGCAAAGACAGATGATTACTGGCCATTGTATAACATGTTTATATAACATTTCATAAATGACCATAAAAACTATTGTTTAATATGTCCTGTGAGTATTAAATTTTCTAAGCCCTTCTTCCTCATTGTATGCCTTAGAAATTTCAACTATCTCTTTCTGATGTTAAATAAAAATGTCCTTTTCATTTCCATTTTCTCTAGAACTTTGTTGTTGCTCACATGTTCTGTCCATGGTATTCTTAGCATCCTTCTGTAGAACCACATTTCTGTTGCTTCAAATGTATCCTTCATTTGAAAGGAGATTATCCAGCATTCACTGCCATATGGGAGGACTGATATTACATAACAGTTCAATACTCTTTTATTTGTTTCTAATGAAATTTTCTTGTTTCTTAATACTTTGCTTAGCTTTTGGAAAGCATCCTTTGCTATTCCAATGTGCCTTTGGAGTATTGCCCTTTGCATCCTCTGTTAAAACACTTCCCAGATATTTAAATTTTTCTATGTGCTTAATTTTGATATCCCCAATTTTCAATTTGCATGTTGGGCTGTTCCTTTTGCTGACAACTATATAAAATGCAAGCTATATGGAACAATGTAGTTGCCACTGAATTTCCACATTTTATCTGAAAGTAAGCAATACTAAATACAAACAATCTTCACATATGTCACTGATCAAAAATACCAGATTTAAACTAAAAAAACTCTGGCTGTACTTGTGCAAATTAGTAACTATTTTATTATTATTATCATTTAGCTAAAGGAAAGACTGTTAGTAATGCTCTATGTCTCTCTCATTACAATAGTAAAACAGATATAAAGCCCAAATGTAGATTGACATTAGATTAAGAAATAACTGATTTATTGTCAATTTAAAAAGAAATCAAGATAATAAAAATAAATTTTTACATTTTTTAAAGAATGACCAATAACCAAACTTGGGCATGGACCAAAATCATGCAGAAATAAGAGGAATATTATCCCTCCAAACTCTGACCCCTATGTCATACTGAACAAAACAAGCAAAATCCAGATCCTAGCATTCCAGACATTTTAAAGTTTGTAGGAAGTCATACAAACTAGAAGATAAGAAAAAGAAAATCTATAGTGAAAGAAGATGGCAAAGAAAATCCCCTGATTACATTAAACAGAAGCTGTGTCACTGAAGGGGAATAAAGGTTATCAAGGGGCAGCTTCCACCTTGTCCCCAGACTGGAGAAGGACCCCCCCTCTTGCCCACACCCTTATTCTGATCCCCAACCTTGCTGACAACAACCATTTCCTTGCCCTAAACTTAACACAAAGAGAGAGAAACAGTTTTTAATAAGCAGACACATTTTGTCAGACCTGTTTACAACTCAAGGTTCATACATAACTCTTTCAGCACCAAAGACGCCAATAAATTCACTTTGTCCTACTTTCATGATTTTTTTCTTATTCCTTTTTTTTCTGCATTAACCAGGTTAAAAAAAAAAAAATTACTTCTGAGGGAGTGAAAAATAGCCATATACATTTCATAATTTTCTCATTTTTATTAAAATATAATGATTTGTTTTTCACAGCTTATCAATCCTTTATGAATTATTTAAAGCCAAAATATGTAGGCAGTTGCTTACAGTACCCAGTGTTTCTAAGTGAAGCCCCATTTATGTACTGACCAGGATCAACACTGCTTAACTTTGGTGATCAAATGAGAACCAGTGTTTTCAGCTGAATTTGACCACAGGCTTATTAAAATATTCATTAAGTCACTTACCCATAGTTAAAAAAAAACAAACTCAAAACAATATTCCATCAATGAATTATACCTTTAAGTAATATTAGTAATGAGTATTTTGTTGTAGAGGCACAGTGGAGTAATGGATAATGGCTTGGATTGAGGAATTGGAGAGCCAAGTTCAAATTCCAGTCGAATTCATTACATTCTCTTACCTGCTAATACCCTTGGGAAAGGTATGAATCTTCTGCCACTAGCTATGGGTAAATAGCAGGACAGACCAGGTTCTATAGCCTTGGATGGTAACTAGTCTATCGCAGAAAGAAATAGCAACCTACTGCAGGAAAAATTCTGCCTCATCAGTGATGTATCAAAAGATACATGATCACCTAAGTGTGTATCACGCATGGCACATAACTGACTGATTCTGTTGCAAAAGTTTTTTTTCAAGTATTTGTTTTAAGGTATGATGCACAATCAATTTTTAATTGCTTGAAATTTGAAAAAAATGAACAAAATCTTATCTTCTTGTTATATATATATATATATATATATATATATATATATATATATATATATATATGTGTGTGTATATATATATATATATATATATATATATATATATATATAAACAATGAACCATAAGGGAGATAACTGCAATGAAAAACAATGAAATTGGTAAAGGACTAAGATCCATGTAAAAGGCAAATTGCCTAATCTATGACATAAATGAAGATGAGTGTATTTTTCAAGATAAACAATATAAGGAGCTTTTAAAGTTTTATGTGGCCTTGTTTAAACTTCTATAAATTGATTGAAAAATGAACAACTAGATTTTATAAAATATAACATTTCCTTTAAATTAATAAAGTCTAAGTACTAAAGAAGAGGGAAGTTCATCAGAACAATATAGTAGAATCTATTTGCAAAAT